GACAGCAGCGCGGAGGCTGAGACACGGGGGCACATGAGCCCCACTCATGAGGTCGGCCGCCCAGCCCGCGTGCGTGAGGTTTTCTTGAGCGGGTGGTCCCTCACTGAGCAGCCGACGCACCTGCCCTGGGCCCCACGCTCTGGGAGACACGGCTGTGCTCTGCCCCGGCTGCCGTGCCGGGCGTGCAGAGCCGGCTCGGCCTCGGCGCTGTGCCCCGGGCGCTCAGGCCCAGGTAGGAGGTAGGAGCCGGGGAGGAGCCGGTGTGGTTATAAGTTGCAGGTTGCGAAGCCAGGGCCACGGACTGCACTGCAGGGCTCGGGCATCACTCGAGGGACCTACACTGGGCTGTGCCCTGTGAGACCCCCTGCCGGGCCCCTGCCCCCACCCCGCACCCCTGCAGCTCCCGCAGGGGGGCGGCACAGACGGCCCTTCCAGGCTTCCCTGTCACCGGGTCCTCCCCAGGAGTGCTTGGGGTCCCAGCTGGGGAAACCCCCCAGCGTCCCAGAGGGCTCCGGCAGCCCTGGGCTCCCCACGCGGCCTTTCCCCGGGGGGTGGCGGGCGCGGTCGGGCTGGCCCGTGCCTGCCTGACGTGAGTTGTGTGTGAACAGAGGTTCCTGGAGAGACGTCAGGGTTGCCATTGGTTGGCTGCGTGTCGCTGTGAAAGGTGTACTGAGGCCACGGGACCGCTGCTGCCACCTGCCCCGCCCACGGCGCCCCTCACTTTGCTCCTGTCACCTCGCTTTCCTGTCACATGGCTCCAGTCCCGGGTGCCAGCTTTCTCCCAGTCCCTGCCCCATAAGCAGGAGGAGCGCCTGCCCTCTTTCCTGGCGGGCAGGGGCGGCCCCTCTGTGACCCTCCTCGGAAAAGGCGGCACCCGCCCAGCCCCGGGGAGGCGGGGGAGGACCAGGACTGCGCTGACAGCCTGCCCACCCGGCGTCCGTCCCGTCGCTGTGACGCACTCGCTCACACAGGAAGTCGGTTACTCATTCCCTGGTTTCCCTTTCACTGACCGAGAAGTGGCTCTGACACAGGGACTTTCAAAAGCACGTGCGAGTGCCCGCGGCGGTCCTGCCAGCGCTTGCCTCCGGCTCGGGGACCCCGCCCTCAGAAGTCACTCTGGCCAGCGCTGCCGGACCGACGGGGTCGCCTCCACAGTGCTCAGGGGCTGAGCCGGCCGCTGTCCTGGATGTGTCACACATACACACACCCTGCCCCTGCACAGCTGGGTCCCTTTCCTCTCGTAGCTACAGTCCCGTGTCTGGGTTCCCAGATGGGAAAGGACCGGCCTTACCATTCCTCGGGGTTTTGCCCCCGACACAGAGGCCGGGTGGACGTTGACAGAAACAACAGGAAACACATTCAGAACAAAACCATTGCGCGGGCTGGGAGTCGAGCCATGTGGTGGGGCCGGGTGTTGCGATAGTTTCCACAGCCGGGCGGTGGAGGGGACCCGAATTTCCCACGGAGTGCGGAGAGGGTGCTGGAGAACCTGGGGGCCGGGGGCCCACGCGGCCGCTGGGAAACACACGGGGTCCTCCACGCGGGGCGGGGGTTTGGGGCGGGGGCCCGCTGAGCAGGGGCAGAGCCATAACCAGTTCTTTCTCTTTTCCTTTTTTTCTTTTTGGCAGTTGTGTAGATTTTTGTGAGCGGTGACAGGCATGTGGGTAACCCACATATGGAGCTTCTCTGGGGACACTGCCCCCTCATTCCGCTCCCGGGGCAGCCGCATCTGGATGCGGGAGGGGCCTTTCCTTACCCCTTGGGCCCAGGGGGCTGTGCCGAGTCTCTCGCCACGCAGCGCGCACCTCTGGGTTCCCAGCCCCTTTGCGGCGACTTTCTGCATCTCCCTGAGTGCCCAAGGGGCGCCCTCCTTGAACCCCGCTCCGTGGTCACTTGGCACCCCCTCGCCGGCGCCTCGCCCACGGCAGAATGCCCCTTCTCCTAGCCTCCCAGGGAGGCCCAGGTGGGGAGAAGCTGGTGGCGTGTCCTGGACCGAGTCTTCCCAAGTGCCCGGTTCTCTTGGGCTTTCGTTTACTCAACAGAGGTTGACGGCACCTGCTGCCGTTGTGCGGGGGGGGGTGGAGGAGGTCAGCCGGGGCCTCACACTCGGGGGGCTGGTGATAACCATGCTTGTCAGTGGCATATGCCCACCAGGCACCCACCGGTGGGCTCCGTTGGGCGGCCACCGTCACGGTTCTGCCCGTGGCTCCGGGCGGGCACAGGGCTGCTGCAGCCCAAAGAGCCGCCTGTGTCGGCGGTGGTGAAGGCATTTGGTGTCCATCTCGGTGTCCGGCGCTCACCCGTCGGTGAGCGGCCTTGCCCATCAGTCCCCCGCCCCTGCCACCTGTGGAACTCGGGCCCCTCCTGCCGCATTTGATCCTCTCCAGTGTTTCGTCTGTGACTCCTGCCTGTTCTGGCAGGACTCCTGCAAGATATAAAAACAGCCGTAGACCCCTGGGGCCCGGCAGCTTCATCGTCTTCAGCAGGGGGTGGGGGGGCTCCTTTCCCAAAGCTGCGAAACAGCCTGTCTGTTTTCTCTGCTTGGAAAGCGTTGCAGCTTTCACTCGTGGCTTTGTGTCCCTGACGCCTTCCCACGCTGCCAGTCACACTGTCCTTGTTGAGTCTAGATGCGAGGAAGAAGCACCTTGTGAAGTTATGTACTTTATGACTATGTTACTACTGCGATTTTTCCACTGCTTTTATCAACACAGCTTAGTAACTCAAACTAGTGGAGAGTTTTCTTTGTTTCCCATGGCAGATTCTGCAGAAGTAATAGGTGTGGGGCAGCACGGGAAAGTACAGGCTCAGCCTGAGCAGGGGCCCGAGGCCGAGCCGTGCCAGCCGGTCAGGTGTAAGCCAGCTGCGAGCACTGGTGCCTGCCGGGCGGTGGCCGTGGTGGCGCGGGCAGAGCCTGGGTTTGGAGCCGAGGGCCCCGCGGTCCTGCTCTGTTCTGCCTGAGCCTGGGCGGCTTCGCTTTTCAAGGGCAACGGCTCCCTCCTGCAGCCGTGAGGCACAGTCCAGACACGTGTGCAGGCACCTGGTACCTGGGCCCGCGTCCCCAAAACCCAGCACGGGGACCAGGATTCTGCGGCCCTGCGGCTGGGCATTGCCCGGACCCGGGTGTGACCCCCGTGGTTTAATGTTGCTTCCATGCTCACGAGAGCCCTCCTGCTGGACAGGAGGCACCCACTGAGAATGGACCTGTGTCCGTGGGCACGCAGCGCTGCGGCCATCCCCGTCCTCGGGGCCTGAGCCGGGCCGTCCGTGCCGTGGCCTGTCGGGAGCCCTCGTGTGAAGGGGCCCGTGTCCCTGCTGAGCTTACGAGGAGCCAGCGCTGCATCTGTTTGGCAACTCGCCCTCAGACACTGTCCTGGGAGGCGACCCGGGAGCCGCTCGAGAACCCTAACTATGCACGTGTCCTCGATCCTGGCACAATGCCCGGCACGCAAGAGGCACCGGAGCGCGCCTGCGTGGGGAGGGGGCGCCGCGCAGTCTGTGAGCTCGTCATCTGTGAAGTCACACTAGCTCAGTGGAGGGAGGCCTGAGGGTTTCCAGATGGAATAACTCAGTGAGATGAGTAACCTTTAAAGCGTGTTTGTTTTCTCATAGAAAGAAAACAAAACAAAAAACAAGTAATTCAAGGCCTCTGAGTTTTCCTAGGTCAGAAGGACAGGAAGAACAGCTTCTATTATTATTAGTGGAGTATTTTTGTCTCCAGTGAATGTCAGTAGCAATTGAGGTACATGGCTTTTTTATTTTATTTTTTTTAATGAGGATTTTTAAAAAAACAAATTCTTGAGCGAAAGTTTAAAGTATTCTGTTATTGGGAAAGTATTTTTCCCCCTAAAGCCACAGTGTTAGCTGTACTGATGGGATTGGTGAGCGTGTGCGTGGGGGGAAGTCCTTCATGCCGTCTGGGGCGGAGAGCCTTCCCTCACGGCTGTGTGGGCGATGGCGGAGGGCGCGGTGGCGACTCCTGCCCCTCTGTGGCCCACCGTGGCCCCCTGTGGCCGAGTCTCTGAGCCTCCAAGTCTCCGATCGCCCGCAGCACCGGAGCTGCCCGGCCCTCCTGCGCAGAGAAGGGGGACGGGGCGCACCCAGTGTGTGTGCCGGCCCCTGGGTGACGCACGCGCTGAGGTAAAGAGCCAGCTTCCTGTGGCGCCACCGCCAGTGTGGGTGTGGTGCTGGCCCCGGGGAGCGGGCGCCGAGTCGCGGTTTCAGGGGACCTGAGAGATTATGGAGACTTGGGGACCCGCGTGGCCCCTGCACACCTGTCCAAAGCCCTGGAAGCCACCTGTGGGAGATGGCGTGCAGGCTGGGAGTGCGGCGAGCACTGGTGTCTGGACGCCGTGGCTTCTTAACTCTTGGTGCTCGGTGGTCGCTGTAGAGGACATGCTCCGAGTGACTGGGGCAGCCTTCTCTCACCTGTCCCAGCGTCAGCGTCCTCAGACAGGGTTCGGGTGGTGTGTCTGGGCTCACTGTGTGTCACGTGCTCTCCGACCCCCGGGGGGTGCTCGCGGTCCCCCTGGGGGGGCAGATACCTCAATCGCGGCGATGGCGCAGCGCAGCGCTCAGGCTGGGAACTCACGGTGAATTGGCGGGGCCCCCGGTGTGGGCGGGAGGGGGCTGAGTGGCTGGGAGCCCCCTGCAGAAATGACTAGCATCGGGGGACAGCGCCGCAGCGCGGGGATCTGGGCAGAGCAAGGAGGGGGCCCGGGAGGGGGCAGTTTGGAAAAGGAGGGCATGGGGCCTGCCGTGTGCCACTGAGTGAGAGGAGGGCACACTGAGGGAGGGGGGCTCCTGAGCCTGGCAGGCGGGGGCCTCTGTGGTGAGGCGGAGAATGGAAGGGCCGGGGCACCAGCCGCACAGGGTCCCGGGGAGGTGGGAAGGACAGTGGGGTGAGTGCCCAGCCCCTGCCGGCGCTCCGCCGCCTCTGGACGGCCGCGCGTTGCCCTGTGTGACCACTGCCCCGAGTGACGGTGACCTCTTTGCTGTTGCAGTGCTCACGCCTCCTGCGCCGCCGCCGCCCCCCATCCAAGGATATGCCTTCAAGCCTCCACCCAGACCCGACTTCGGGACCTCTGGGAGAACAATCAAGTTACAGGCCAACTTCTTTGAAATGGACATTCCAAAAATTGACATCTATCACTATGAATTGGATATCAAGCCAGAGAAATGCCCAAGGAGAGTTAACAGGTACCGTGTCCTCCTTTATTGATCTTGGTGGATTTGTGCGGGTGATCTTTGCATGCAAACACAAGGTTTTAATCAGCCCTTCGATTCTCAGCAGGTCCTTCCGAGCTTCTTCCCAGGAAGTTTCTATTGGGTTTATTTTTTGAAAAACGTTTTTGTATCAAGGTGCAATGAAGTATGTATCGTACGTTCAATCCAGTGAGTTCGGACCAGCGGGCACGTCTGCCCCCGCCCCCGACGCGTCCTGCGCTGGTGTGTCAGGCGGGTGCCGCTCCGGCATTGGAGCAGCTGTGCGGCCTGCGAGGCCGGCCCCGCCCCCTGCCCGCCACTCACCCGCTCCTTCCACCCGCGGGGAGTTCCTGGATTGGCCTGCCCCACTGTGTGTATTAATAGTGTCTTGTTTCTGTTGCTGAGGAACACTTTATGACACGAACATTTCATCATTTATTCATTCCTCCTCTTGTTAGACACTTGGGCTGCTGGGCTTTCTTTTATGTGCAAAGCTACCATGAACGTTCTTAAGTCTTTTTTGTGGACACAGTGTTTTCATGTCTCTTAGATGCGAAAGGAGGAGAGAAATTGCGGGACCAAAGGGTGGGAGCCGTTTGGCTGTGGGGGGAGCTACCAGGTGCGTCCGGAGAGGGCGGCAGCCTCTCGTCCCGCGCCACACCCGCACCATGCCCGTGCACTTGGTGTGGCCAGTCTTTTTGATTCTTGCTGTTTTGGTGGGTGTGGAGTGGCTTTGCATGGTGGTTTTAATTTTCATTTCCTGATGACTAATGAGTCGAACTCCTTTCATGTGCGTATATCTATGAATTATATTATATGCACGTGTTACAGAATGTCACACCGCGTGTTCCCTCTAGTGAAGGGTCGGTTGGAGTCTCCCCTGCCATGGGGCTGTTGGTCCTTTTGTTACTGACTTGTAGGAGCTTTTGCAATAATACATTCCAGGAGCAGGTCAGGGTGGGGGCTGTGTGCTCACAGTCTGAGTTTTGTAGTTTCACTCCCTTAATCGTGTCTTTAATGGGCAGAACTTCATGATTTGTTCGGGTCCAGCTATCAGATTTTGAAAATGGTCATTGTGTGGCGAGTTCTAAGAAACATTTGCCCACCTGATAGTAACAAAGATATGCTCCAATTTTTTTTTTTCCCCCAAGAACTGCAGTGTTGGCTTGCACGCCTAGGTCTGCAGCGTGCCTTGGACAGGTCGCTGTGTAGGCATGAGGGGCGGGTCGGTTCAGAAAACGTCTCTTCCTGTGGGGATCGCCTCGGCGCTCTAGGGGGGGACATGGATTGATTTTCACGAACTACCCAGGAGCCCCTTGGAATTGTTTTTTATTGTGATTGTTTTGAATCTATAGATAAATTCGGGGGAAATTGACACTGTTGAATCTAGCAATGTATAAGCATTGTACAATCTCTATATTTAGGTCTATAGAGAATATTGTACATTCTCTATGTTTAATTTCTCGTAGTAGTTACTCATAACGCTCAGTGTAGAGGGGTCTCATTTGGCTTATTCTTCAGTTATGCTATGTTGTTACTGTGAATGGTGTTTTAGAATTGCGTTTCCAGAGGCAGGGAGCGCCTGCTAGCGAGTACGGGCTGCTCCCAGGGTGGCGGCGGGCTCGCGCCGGAGTCGGCGTGGCGGTGGCGCGCAGGGCCACGGGGCTGCCCTCGCGCCTCCGCCCGCACCCCGTAAGAGCGTGGGGATGATGGCTCCACAAAGATGTTAGTTACATTTTTTCGTTACTTTTGAATGAGGGTGGCTTTACTGTTTCATTCCAGTTTTTACTGAGTTTCATTTCTTCGACTTGCTTTTGGTGACAGCTCGGAAATCCAGTAAAAACGACATGGAAGGTACATGGTGCAAGTGGCCGCTCTTACCGCTCTGCTCTCGGGGGACACGTTTCCCCTTTCACCTCTGAAACGGGACACTCCTCCCAGGACTTTGGGAGAGACCCCGAGCTCTGCCGGTGCGGGGCCCTGTCCGGGCTGCTGGCCCTGCACACCGCGGTGCTTGTCCACCCGGCAATGCCACGCGTTACTTTTGTGTGTGGCGGGCGGGGGGGGGGTGTTAAATCGGCTTCTGTTTCTGGCTGTGGTGATGTATTGTGTTATACCTGTCTTCAGCCGTGGTGCGACCTTTTTACCTATTGCTGGAGTTAGTGTTGGCCTTCTGTGGGTTTTTGTGTCCATGCCATGGCGGGCATCGCTCCGTGCCCTCTCATGGGGGCGCGTCCCCATCCCCTGTGCCCGAGAAGAATGACGTGAGATCGGTATAATGCCTGTTTGACCAGCTTGTCACCGAAACCACTTGGGCCTAGATTTTTCTTTGTAGGAAGTGCTTCCTTGCAATTTGATTTCTTTGCCAGATATTACACTGTTCAGATTTTTCCATTTCTTTCTGTATCTGCTTTGGATAGTTTATGTCTTTTATGGCATCTGCCCATTTCCCGTAAGTTGTTGGGCTGTTGGGCATAGAACTGGTCACAGTATTCTTTCCGTGTCTGCAGGGTCTGGAGGGAGTGAAAGCTCCTGAGCGTTCCTCATATTTTAAACTGGTGTTTTCTCTCCTTCCCCCCCCCCCCCCCCCCCAGGTTTGCAGAGGTGATCAGTCAGCGGCATCTTTTCACAGAAACAGCTTTTCACTTTGTTGACTTTTGTCTTTTGTTTGCCCAGGCTCCCGCCCCTCCCCCCGCCCTCACACTTTTCCCCTCTGATGTTTGGCATTTTCTTCCACTGATGGGGAGTTTAGAGCCTCAGTTTTAAACCTTTCTTCTTTCCTGTCCGTTTATTGAAGCCGGCGGTACTCCCAAACTTGCTTTTAGCAATAGCCCATACATTTTGATACATTTTAGTTTTTCTTTAGTTTAAAATATTTTCTCATTTTCTTTGTGAAATTCTTTTTTAATCCATGGTGTTTAGAAGGTATTGTTCAATTTGTAACTCTTCGGAGAGTGTTTTTAAATACCCTGTTTTCATTGGTTGCTAATTTATTTTCTTTATGCTTACAAAACACTGTCCGGATTTCAGTCTTTTGAAACATTGGGACTTATTTTATGGCTAAGCATGTGATTTATCTTGTTAAACGGAGAATTTTATAACAGCGTGATCCCGTTTACTCCCACTTTAGCCAGAGTTCTCCTGTGCTTCTGCGTGCGTCCCGGGCCCGCGGCCTGACGTCGTGGTGACGGCAGGGCGTCAGCCCAGCCCCCGCGCGGGAACCGGCCCGCGCACGGCGGCCCGGCACCTCTCCCCAGCGCCCTTTCAGGCTTGACAGTGTGCTCCCTGTCTGTCGTATTTTTGAAAGATCTGTTTGTGGGACCTTGAATTCTAAATTGACAGTTTTTCCGCAGCACCTCAAAAATGTCTTGATGTTGACTTTTTCTCCTCGTTGTATATGAGGAAATGGCAGCTCGTTTGCTTAATTGTGCTTCCTGTGTGTGCGATCTGTCTTTTTTTCCTCTGAATATTTTTTATTTTGATGTTGCTTCTCAACAGTTTGACTGTGATGTGCCTCCGTGTGGTTTTCTTCGTATTCTTCCTTCTTGGGGTCATTGAGGTTTACCTTTGTATGTTTCATGAGATTTGAGTGAAAGACTGGCTATTATTTCTTTAAACACTTTTTTCTGCCCCATTTTCTTTATTGCTGGGATTGCAATTATGTGTCTGATGAAACCCTTTGGTATTGTCTTCATGTCATTGAGCCTGTGGTTTAAAAAACAAAACAAAACCTCTTTTTTCCAGTTTGGATTAATCTTTATTAATCTGTCCTCAAGATCACTTTACCCATTCTTTTTTTTTTTTTTTAAATAGCGTACAGTCTTCTACAGTCACTGTCCGATGAAATGTTTAAATTTAGATATTCTCCTTCCAGGTCTAGAATTGGCACTTGGTCCTTTTTCCTGGTTTGCGTTCTCTGCCGAGATTTCCCACCTGTTCGCTCATTGTTCCCATCTTTTTTGTGACGACCTGGAATGTATTTATAGTGACTGTTTCGTTAGCAGCCTTTGTCTGCTCACTATGCAACACATGGGCCATCTCAGCGTCTGTCTCTGTTGACAGGCTAGTGTTGCTTACTCTCCTGCCCAGTGCACTCTTTGGTTGTCGAACCTTGTAGGCGTCCCATGGAGGGTGTCTGGGTTTTGCCGTCTTCCTTGGTCCCTGCCACACGGGTCCCTGCCTCTCCCACAGCCCCAGACCTGCCCCGGCCCCATCTCCTCAGCGGGGCGGACTGCCGCTGCCCGGCGCGCCTCGCGCTCCGCGCTCCGCGCTGTGCTCCTGGGCAGCGAGCACATGACTCAGCAGCAGGCCTGGTCCCGAGCTGCCTGCTTTCCAGCGCCAGAAGTGCCACCGCATGTGACCTCCCGATATTCCGTGTTTGGGGACGGGGGGCGGGGGGGCGGGCGGTGAGTCCACTGTAGCCGTTTTGCCGTGGTCGGAAACGGAATTCTCGCACACGGTTTGGTGGCTGCGTCCTGGTTCCTTGTCAACCACTCTCTGCTGCTGTGTTTTTGCCTGTTCACAGCCTTTGTGAGAGAAAGAATGTTTGGGGATTCAGTTCCTTTATCTGTGAAACTGAATAGTTAGACATTAATCCAGACTTTTTAGAAAGTGATTTTGTGTCTCTACTAAAATAAAAATAGCATTTACCCTTTGATCCACCAATTCTACCTCTAAGCATTTGTCCCCAAAAGATTGTTCTCTGAGCAAGCAGCACTTAATCATTTACACAAGTGCTTACTAAAAAAATGTGTTTTCTGGACAAAAACTTTGTCACAGCTGGTTTAAACCACTCTGTTCACTGGAGGTCTTCTGCGGCGCGTCGGCGTGCCTGCCGTGTGCACCCGGCGAGTCCTGTGGCCAGGCTCGTGCCCTTGTTCCTGAGCCCCCGGGGACGGGCCCTTGCGGGACCCGACCGCGAGGGCAACCCTGGGAGCCGGGGCGGAGGCGGTTCAAGCGCGCGTGCTGTCCGGGCTGTGGCCGGTGCGGTGGCA